AAAAATCCCATTTGGTAAAGGTGTATAATCCTAAATTTGGTTTGCTAATAATTTGCAAATTTACTTTGTTCCCATGTTCATCAGAGATATTGGCCTGTAGTTTTCTTGTGATGCCTTTGCCTGGCTTTGGTATCAGGGTGAACCTGGCTTCATAAAAGCCATTTAGAAGTGCTCTCTCTTATTTTTTGAGAGTTTACGAAGGATTGATTTTGATTCTTCATGAATCTTCTGGTGGAATTCACCTTTGAAGCCATCTGGCTATAGGTTTTCTTTGTTAGCAGGGTTTTGGTTACTGGTTTAATCCTGTTTGTTATTGGTCTGCTTAAGCTTTCTATGTGACCCAGTCATGAAAGATTATGTTTCTGGAAAGAGATCTGTTTATTCTAGTTGTTAAATTTGTTGGTGTATCATTGTTCATAGTAGTCCCTTACTATATTTTTTATTTATTTTATTTATTTGTTTGTTTGTTTTTGAGACGGAGTCTTGCTCTCTTGCCCAGGCTGGAGTGCAGTGGGTCTATCTCAGCTCACTACAATCTCTGCCTCCTGGGTTCAAGCAATTTTCCTGCCTCAGCTTCCCAAGTAGCTGGGACTACAGGCACATGCCACCGCGCCCGGTTAATTTTTTGTATTTTTAGGAGAGATAGGTTTCACTGTGTTAGCCAGGTTGGACTTGATCTCCTGACCTCATGATCCACCTGCCTCGGCCTCCCAAAGTACTGGGACTACAGGCGTGAGCCACCACACCACAGCCAATCTTTTTTATATTTATGGCAATGGTTGTAGTATCTCCTCTTCTAGTTCTAATTTTTACTTAATTTACTCTCTTTTTTTTTAATTGGTCTAACTAAGGGTTTATCAATTTGGTTTGTGTTTTCAAAAAGCAGCTTTTAATTTTATTGACCTTTTCTACTGTTTTTCTATCCTTGATTTCATTTTACTCTTATATTTTCTTCCATTTGCTAACTTTGAGCTTAGCTTGGTCTTCTTTTACTAGGTCCTCTAGTTATACTGTTAGGTTGTTCATTTGAGATCTTTTTTTTTTTTTATTGTAGATGTTTATAAACTTCCTTTTTAGAATTGCTCTCTTGCTTTCTATGTTTTAGCACATTGTTTTTGTTTTTATTGAGATGTTTTCTAACTTCCCTTTGGATCTCTTCCTTGACTCAATGACCATTCAAGAGTTTATTGTTAAATTTCCATGTATTTGTGAATTTTTCCATTTTGCCTTTGTTATTGACTTTTAGTTTTCTAACATTGTGGTTTGGGAAAGATCCTTGAAATGATTTCTGTCTTCTCACATTTTTTTTTGTGACCTAGCAAGTGACTTGTCTTCAAGAAGAGAAACCAGCGCTAGGGCAACGCTTACCACATACATGTACCTGGTTTCCTGGGTGGGGCGCGCAGTGCCTGTTGGTGGGGACGTTGATGCAAAAGGGAAATGTAAAGTTTTAAAATCTGTAATAAACAGGAGTTTCCCAGGAAATGGTACAAAGTGGCTAAACCTTGATATATTTTAATTCTGCTATCCGATTGGATTGATAAATGCCTGGTTATGGAATCCTATGTTAGACATCATTTCCCCTCAAATTGTTTTCTGGATTTCTGACACATTTTAAAATTTGGATATCATTTTTTTATTGTATTTCTTTGTATGGGGCTTCTTTCCTTCCCTCTGGGTATATCACCTTTATTGCCAGCTTTCTGAGAAAGAAAGTATGATGGTATGTCTTGATGTGAGCTCTTATCTGTCATGTGGGAGTTATCAGTGGGTTTTTTCAAACCTGGACTCTCATGCTTCTTTAATTCTGGAGAACTGATTGGAAGCATGAATAGAAGTTGTCTTGTAACTGCTTTCTCTACCTAGAAAATTCCTATTCACATTTTAAATTGAGTTTAAAGATTACATTCATCAAAAATATTTCTGACTACCTTTCTCATCTTCAAAAGAAAACTTAGTAAAACACCATCAACAACCACCACCCAGGGCTATTGTTCTACCATGTGTACATATCTATTGATTCTTTTTACAGCAATGATTTTTACTGTTTATTTTTCTGCCTAGGCAGTGAGGAATTTGGTCAGGACTATATTTCAAAGAGAAATGTCTCCAAAAAAGTTATTTCTGATACATGTATATTTACCTTACTGAAATGAATTCATTGTTTTTGAGAAGAATGAAATGACTGCTGTAAGATAGTAAGTACTACAAAAAAACAAAACACAACAAAAAAAACCCGCAGAGTACTCTATTTCTTAGCAAAGTGGATCAGCAATACTAGTGCTGTGGGCAGCTGAGCTGGGTTGTTTGTAGAACCCCCGCTGGGCTCCTGCAGCTGGATTTTAAAGGGAAGAGGTTTACTGGATTCTATTTGTATTACTATAAGTGTACTAGAGACAGAAATCTGATTTCCTGAGGAGAAAGTCTCTCTGGTGACCCTAGCAGGAAGCCAGGCTTTTCCATCAAAATGAGTAGGAACCTAAAGGATAAAAATAGTTCTTTCCACTCTGAGTGAAGGCAAAGCAAAGTGAAATTTAAAGAGACTACAGACAGGTCACCTGGGGAGATGAGCAGGAAGATGAGCAAGCATGCCAATTCCTTGTGTCAGGAGGAATTCGTTCTTGAAATAAAGTATACATGTCAATAGCCCATTAATTGTGTTGGAACTCTATTTTGTGTAACGTGCTTAATATGTAGCTGTTATTCTCTTAAGCAACACATGTAATATTAATTCTAAATCAATCTTCCTGTTTAGATTCATACTGTTTATTTACCAAACATAGAAAGGCATCGTGCCTAATTCTAGATGATGTCTGTCTACAAACTAATCACTAAACTAGTGTCCAGACTGGGACTGACAAAACGTGAGTCAGCATATTTGTTCTCTTTTGCTCTCCTGACCCCCAGCTTTATTGAGGTATAATTGACAAATATGTTAAAGATATTTAGCATGTTGTTTTCATATGCCTATATAAAATAATTATCATTATCAGGTTAATTAACATCACCTCACATAGCATTTATTTCTTTTGGAGAGAACATTTATGCTCTACTCTCTTAGCTAATTTTGAGTGTACACTATTAACTGCAGTCACCATGCTGGACATTAGATATCCAGAACTTATTCAACCAGCATAACTGAAACTTCATTCCCTTTGACCAACATCTTCCTATCTCCCCCACCTCCCAGTTCCTGGAAACTACCATCCTACTCTCTGCTTCCATGAGTTCCACTTTTTAAATCACGCATATAAGTGAGATCATGCATTATTGTCTTTCTGTGCTTGGCTTATTTCACGTGGCATAATGTCCTCCAGGTTCATCTATGTTGTCATGAAAAAAAGGATTTCTTTCTTTTTTAGGACTGAATAATGTTCCATTAGGTTGAATGCATTAAGAATATGCTACCCAAAAATATGCTTTTCTGGGTTATTGATTATTTTGAATTAAAGGAATTTAAAAAACAGCAGTTGCAAAAATATTACTCTGATCTTCATTGTTTTTTAAAAGTAGGAGATACAATTTTCATATGAAGGATGTCTTCCTCTAACTAAAGGAATAACATTCTAATCATTAAGAAAGGGAAGTTGAAGCTATTTGTGTGAAAAATGCCTTTGGAAATTTTTGGGTTTTTTTTGTTTTTTCAAAAAAATTTTATTGATTATTTATTTTTCCTTCCAACTTTTTATTTTAGGTTCAGGGGTACATGTGCAGATTTGTTACATGGGTAAATTGTATGTCTCAGTGATTTGGTGTACATATTATTTCATCATTCAGGTAATGAGCAGCATAGTACCCTACAGGTAGTTTATAGATCCCCTCCCTTCTCCCACTCTCTACCCTCAATAGACCCCGGTGTTTGTTGTTCCCTTTTTAGTGTCCATGTCTACTCAGTGTTTACCTCCTACTTGTGAGAACATGTGGTATTTGGTTTTCTGTTCCTACATTAATTTTCTTTGGATAATGGCCTCCAGCTCTATCCATGTGGCTGCAAAGGACAAGATTTCATTCTGTTTTTATGGTTGCATAGTATTCCATAGTTTATATGTGGTACATTTTCTTTATCCAGTCTCCTGTGTTGGGCATCTAGGTGGAGTCTGTCTTTGCTAGTGCTGTGATGAACATACATGTGCATGTGTCTTTATGGTAGAATGATTTATATTCCTTTGGGTATATACCCAGTAATGGGATTACTGGGTCAACAAAGTCAATAGTAACAAGCAATGGGGAAAGAACTCCCTATTCAATACCACACTTAAGCTCTAAAATGTTATAATGCCACAGGGAGAGGAAAAAGAAGAGGAAGGAAGGAGAGAAAAAAGAAAGAAGGAAGAAAGGAAAAAAGAATGGGAGAGAGAGAACAAAAACATCACCAATAAGTGAAGCTAGGATGACAGGCTAGCCCTAGGCAGAAGAATGAAACTGGACCCTTTTCTTTTGCTGTATACAAAAACTCACTCAAGAGGGATTAAAGACGTAAATGTAAAACCGAAAACTGTAGATTTCTAGAAGAAAACCTAGAAAGTGTCATTCTGGATATAGGCCCTGGTAAAGATTTCATGATGATAACTCCAAAAGCAATTGAAACAAAAACAAAAATTGGCAAGTAGAACATAACTAAACCAAAGAGCTTCTGCACAGCAAGGCAATCAACAGAGTAAACAGACAACCTACAGAATGGGAGAATATATTTGCAAGTTATGTATCTGATAAAGGTTTAATATTCAGCATTTATAAGGAACTTAAACAACTCTCCAAGCAGAAAACAAAAGGCCCCATCAAAAAAATAGACAAAGGACATGAACAGCCACTTCTCAAAAGACATACATGCAGCCAACAGGCATATGAAAAAATATTCAACATCACTTTAAGTTCTCATCTGAGAACTGCAAACCAAAGCCACAATGAGATACCATCTCAATGGCAGTCAGAATGGCTATAATAAAAAGTCAAAAAGTAACAGATACTGGTGAGATTGTGAAGAAAAGGGAATGCTTATACACTGCCGTTGGGAATGTAAATTAGTTCAGCCACCATGGAAAGCAATTTGGAGATTTCTCAAAAAACTTATAACTTCCACTGGAATTTTAATCCGGATTGCATTGAATTTGGTTTCTTTTAGGTAGGATGAACACTTTAACAGTAGTAATCCATGAACACACGATATTTTTCCATATATTTGCATCCATTCAAATTTTTGAACACTTTGAAGTTTACATAAATCTGTTTCTTTTCATCCCTCTTTTTTTCTTTTTGTCTGTTTCTTTCATTGTTCTTCCTTCCTTCCTTCTTTCCTTCCTCTTCTTCCTTTTCTTAGTGGCCATAAGAACACATTCTAGCTTTATTCTGGTGATTTATCTTTAGCAAATTAAAAAAAAAAATGAGAACAATGATTGAACTTTCATTGGAAATAGGATTAAAGCAGAGAAAAACCGTTCCTCTTTGATTTCTTTCTTTTTTTTTCCTGTTCTCCACTGCTTCTTAATTAATTGGTTTGCCTTTCTAGTCATAAGGGAGTTGTTTATTATAAAATTAAATTGATATTGTCATTTCTAGAGGTGGTTACAAGCGGCCAGATGTTTTTAAAATTGAAAGCTAACTTCCAATTGAATTTTTAGAAAAACCATAAAAAAAAAAAACCAGAATCTGCCTTCCAAGGTTGTCTTGGGAGAGGATGCATAGGGAGTTGTGTGGGGGCCATGAAGTTCTACTGTGAAAATGGTAATCATTTAAAGGCACCACAGTGTGTCTGTGTGTTTCCTTGTGTTCCCAGAGCCTGCCTAATTCCTTCTTTTCTTTTCTTTTCTTTTTTTTCCTTTTTTGAGGCAGAGTCTCACTCTGGCTCCCAGGGCTAGAGTGCAGTGGCGCGATCTTGTCTCACTGCAAATTCTGACTCCCGGGTTCAAGCAATTCTTCTGCTTCAGCCTCCCAAGTAGCTGGGACTACAGGCACCCCCCACCATGCCTGGCTAATTTTTGTATTTTTAGTAGAGATACAGTGTTACCATGTCGGCCAGGCTGATCTCGAACTCCTGACCTTGTGATCCGCCCTGCCTCGGCCTCCCAAAGTGCTAGGATTACAGGCATGAGCCAACGCACCTGGCCTTTATTTTCTTATACACACTGTAGTTGGTTTGTTGTTCTTCTTCCCTGCAGGGAATAGAGTGAGAATTACAGAAAAGGTGTTAAACAGCTGTTTGAGTAAAACTGCCTTAGCCTAATTGGCTGAATATTAATTGGCTGAATCTGACTAGTCTCACAACATGCAGAAGACAAGGTGTTAGTAGGCAAGGAAAAGTCTGGAGGAATGTGGGAATGTTTTGCATCTCTAGTTGATAAACTTAATGAATCACAAACTGTTAATGGTCACTGCTGTGTTCTGTACACGGCAGCTCCAGGGGTGACTACGGAAGGTTTTCTTATGAGAGGCCAAGTGCAGCAGAAAAATTTTAAGTCCTCTTGCTATTGTTCCCAGGTTTCTGGGTTGAGGTATTGATAAATTAGTTGACAAACCTAATATTCTTAGAGACAAAACCCACAAAATAGTCATAGATTTTAATAATACTGTAGCGACTGTATCGTTTCCCTAGCTTTGCCTCTGTTTTCATATCTGAGAAGACAAAGACTCTAAAATACAGAAAACTCACCTCAGGTCCAAGTTGAACCCACATCTTATAACACCAAGCATTAAATTTTCTCATTGAACCCTAGAAATCGTAACTGTTAAAAACGCAAGACCGTGTTTGTTCTCTTACAGAAGGGTGAAGCTTCTATTACGATATTTCAGCACTCATCCTCAGAGTGGGGAAAAAAGTTAACCTGATGTCTGATGTGCAATTTCCTAAAAATTCTAGTTTCCAAGGGCTCCTGAAATAATTCAGGATCTATAATTTCTGAAATATTTCAGGGAGGATGTGGAGTAGTATCCAGGACACAGATTCTAAAGCCAGACTGGTTGAGTTTATGGCCTAAAAGTAGCAGCTGGATTTCTCTCTCTCTCAATGCTCTTATTTGTAAAATGGGGAAAATGGTATGACTGCTACTTGATGGACATTATTGGGTACACACTTTATAGCTGAAAGGTAGTATTAGCAGTACTTAGAAGTATGAGCTTTAGAACGTTACTACTAGGATGAAATCTAGGCTTCTCTACTTGTTAGCTGTCTAGCCTTGGGAAAGTCACTCAGCCTCTCAGTGCCTCAGTTCTCTGATATGTAATGTGACAATCTTAGTATCTACATGAGCCGTTGGATGGAAAGAGGGAGAACTTAATACATAGAAAACTCTTCCTGTACATAGATACTCAATGAATATTAGCTGTTACTGTTAGCATTTATACTTAAAATTCCCAGATAATTTATCATCCACATTGAAACACTTTTGGGATTTGAAAGAGAGCACTATTAAGAATTATGCAGGAACATGCTATTTAAGAAATAACTTACATAACGCTTAGGAACTCTTATTTCAGGCTTTAAAAGCCAAGGAGCAAATAGCTTTAGGAAACTGATAACAATGTCACTTAAATTTGAAATACTAAAAAGAGATTCGTGTTCTCAACTATGTGAAATCGATTTCTTCTACTTTCTCCAATATAATCCTAGGAATCTTGCTTATAAACAAAGCACTTCTGAGCCAAGAATACTTCCTCTAATGTAGTAGAGCTTCACATCATATTGTGCTGCAGGTTCCATCGTTTTAAAGGACAGAGACATAATTGATAAATAATGGTATAAAAGTATTATGATCTACCACCTTAGAAAAGAAAATGTTGTTTATGGAGTTCAGAGCTTGGAGATTCAAGTATTGATTGCAGTTTTATTTTGAAAAGAATGCTACAATTTATGTGGTTTTTTTCATGTTTATATTTTAAAAAGCTAATTAATAAAAAAAAAAGAATTATGCAGTAACAATAGAAAGTACAATAACATTCCTGTTGCAAACAGAAATGCAAGGTCACTCATTTAACACTGAGCCTATTTCTCAGTAGGTTGGTAGATCTTGCTTGCCTTTCTTTAGGTCTTTGAGCCTAAGAATGAGCTACTTTGTGAGGTGGATTCTGAGAATTTTCAAGGTTTCTCACCTTCTAGCACCTTAATACTTCCTGCCTTATGATCTTCTCTTCCAAGTGGCTTCAAAACTTGGCCATGTGCTCCCAGGCACAGTCAGGAAGGTCAGGCCCTCCACTCTGTTTCACATTCCCTTTACGTGAAGCAAAACCAATGAAGTTAGAACAAAAACTCAGTGCCAAATTCTAAATCAGCTTAGTTTTGCACACTTTTTTTCTCCTTCAAAAACAACTTGCAAGAAAAAGGGAGTAAAGCTCCATCATACAGCATGCATTCGTGGTGCCTTTTTCTATGTGCAAGGCCCAAGACAGACTGCTCCTGGCTTCCTCAGGTGGGTCCCCGGAGGAGGAGTGGGAGAATGCAAAGAGAAGACAGCATGTGGGCACAGGCTCCAGGAGAAGCTTTCTTTGAGCTTCACCAGACTCTGTGATCACTTTAAAGATAAAGAGGCCAGGCAGGGCCTGGCGGCTCACGCCTGTCATCCCAGCACTTTGGGAGGCTGAGGTGGGCGGATGAGGAGGTCGGGAGATTAAGACCATCCTGGCCAACATGGTGAAACCCCGTCTCTACTAAAATATGAAAAATTAGCCAAGCGTGGTGGTGCACTCCTGTAGTCCCAGCTCCTTGGGAAGCTGAGGCAGGGCAGTCGATTGACCCCAGGAGGCAGAGGTTGCAGTGAGCCGAGATCACACCATTACACTTCAGCCTGGGTCACAGCAAGACTCTGTCTCAAAACAAAACAAAAAACAAAACACAAAGAGGTCAATGGGAGATGTAGGTCTTCTATGGCAGGAAAAAACTGGCAGAATTAATTTGATAGTGGATGTGGAGGTTCACTTTACCCTCTTCTGTATTTTGGCAGTATCAAAAATTATATCAAATTAACCTTGTGGTAATAAGGGAAGACTATTCCCCAAACCGTTAAAAAAAATACATACAAGCGCAGTAAAGTGGGGGAAAACAGGTTAGCACATGTAACAGATAACACCTTTGTGAGATGATAATGAAAATGATGGAAACGAATTTTGATTTTAGTTATTACATATTCTTGAACAAACTGGAAAGTTATACCCAATTCTGCTAAGTGCTAGCGGAGCAGTACCTCTCCAGAGGTGTGCCCAAATCTTTCCATAGCAGGGTGTGATCTTAGCAGCCTAAGTTAAGCACTGAGTTTTCTAACTGGGCCCAGAATCCACAAGGTTCTCACTTGTGGGTCTTTGCTGTACTCAGGTCTTCCCACTGGGTGTCCTGTAGCCCACCTGCCCTTAATTTCACTTTTCTTTTGCTTCTAGCTTAGAAGATGAAAGTTGGGCCGGGCGCAGTGGCTCAAGCCTGTAATCCCAGCACTTTGGGAGGCGGGTGGATCACGAGGTCAGGAGATCGAGACCATCCTGGTCAACATGGTGAAACCCCGTCTCTACTAAAAATACAAAACATTAGCTGGGCATGGTGGCGCGTGCCTGTAATCCCAGCTACTCAGGAGGCTGAGGCAGGAGAATTGCCTGAACCCAGGAGGCGGAGGTTGCAGTGAGCCGAGATCGCGCCATTGCCCTCCAGCCTGGGTAACAAGAACGAAACTCCGTCCCAAAAAAAAAAAAAAAAAAAAAAAAGAAAGAAGAAGATGAAAGTTCCCATTTACTTATGAGCCTTGTTCAAGGTTTGCCTTCCCTGTGAAATCTTATTTATCAAAAGATGAAATTAGACATGTCCCAATTAACCTTTGACTTCACTGCTGTGGTAACATTTTTCATGATTGATTTGAATGCTGGCTTACACGTTTATCTTCTGTATTAGGATTTGAAATTCTTTGGAAAAGGGGCTGAGTCATCAGTGTTGAATGAATCAGAGTCCTAGTATGGATCCCTCAGAACTTGCCCCCAAGGGAAAAGAGCCTCTTTGTGAGCCTCAGGTCATAAAGTTATGGGTAGGAGTTGCCTACAACTTGGCTTGCATGCCTTAGATTAGTACTTATATGCAGTTACATACAATTTCTTGGTTTATTGGTTGGCATATACTTTGGTCCTCTTAAATAATATTTGTAATAGTATCGACTGAAGACCATTTGCATTAGAATTGTTTGGGTAGGTTTTTACAATTGTAAATTTCTCTACCTAATCCCAGAACAGAGGAATCAGAATAGCCAGTGATGAGTCCTGGGATTCTGCATTTTAACACGACCCTTGTGCAATTCTTAAGCTAAATAATATTTGAGAACCAATGCTCTAGTGAATTGTAGCGTGGTAACGTCCTTATATTTAAATACATTGAATGACATGAATATAGTAATACTGGCTAAGTTTTATTAATTATATTTTAGGTACTTCGTAATAGTGGTAAGATATATTACTACACTGTAATTTCACGGGTATATTATGAGAATTATGAGTTAATGTTCATGACTGAAATACACTACACAGCTGTAAAGTATACTTATCCCTTTATTTCCATGTGCTCACAAAATGATTTGACAGAATTGGAAACTGAATCCAGGAAACTCATTTTTCTTCCACCAGTGCTTATTAGAGTGACCTGCAGGAGTAAAGAGGAAATTTGTTATTTAATACCCAGCCCTCAGCCAGGCGTGGTGGCTCACGCCTGTAATCCCAGCACTTTGGAAAGCCAAGGCAGGCAGATCATCTGAGGTCAGGAGTTCGAGACCACCTTGACCAACATGGTGAAACCCCATCTCTACTAAAAATACAAAAAATTAGTCCGGCATGGTGGGGCATGCTTGTAATCTTAGTTACTCGGGAAGCTGAGGCAGGAGAATCGCTTGAACCCGGGAGGCAGAGGTTGCAGTGAACCAAGATCGCATCACTGCACTCCAGCCTGGGTGACAGAGAAAGACTCCATCTCAAAATGACAATAATAATAATATATAAATAATAATACCCAGCTCCAGTATTATTCCATTTTTGACTTGGATTCCGTTTATGGGTCTTCCCCACACAAATCGCATCTAATCTTGGCTTATCATCCTTCTGCATTTCCCAGGGAGAAAAAAATGTAGTTTCATGGCTTTGATGAGATGCAGGACACACTACGCCAAAATAGTTTAAACTGAAGGAATTTGAGAAAACTCTAGAAGCAGAAAGGTCTCTCTGACCTTCCCCTACCCTACTGCCCTGAAGCAAATTATGGTACGTTGGAAGGATTTTCTGACATTCCACGGAAGCAGGCCATGAGACCCTGAGGTGAGAGGGCGTAAAGATGCTCCTGGAGAAAGGGAGCATCCTTATGTCAGAAGACAAAGCATCACAGAGAAGAATTTGAACAAACAGACCTTGCTAAGTTTCTCACTATTTAATGCCATTAACCCATATCCTTTTTGATGTATCCTATTTTTCCATGACGAGTTAAACCTACTATACAAAACACCTAGGTTCAATGGTTTCTTCAGGTCTTCATTTCCTTACAAAGGCTCCCAGACTATGTAAAACTTATACTGAATAAATTTGTATGTTCTTCCCTTGTTAGTCTGTCTTGTTATAGGAGTTCCTGCTAGGAACACAGGATGGTTGAGAAAAATATATTTTTCCTTCCTACAATTTCAGGAAGTCATGGTTTGTGATTAGTGACACACACAGTTATCATTTGCACTTGCAGAGTACAGTTGATATGTTCCTTAATGCAGATGAACCCACCAGACAACTGAGGACATAAGAAACTGACAGCTTTCATCTATTTATGTGCTCCTTTTTAAAATTATATTTTCTTAATTTTGTCTTTCTTTTGATTTTCTTCAGTGGTGTTTCCCTGAATCTATTTGCCTAAATAAGAAATTATTTCATTTTAATTGTTTAAAAATTCAACAAAATGATATCAGTTTCATAAAACTTCTTATTTACTTAATGCTGATGAACTGCATTTTATCTAGATCATTATGGGTAGCTATAGTTTATTTATTTTCACTGCTGTATAATATTGTATTATTTGGATATACCAAAACTTTGACTCTATTCTCCTTTGAGCAGACGTTTTTAATTTTTACAGTTTTACTCTATTATCTACCTTATTTCCAAGAATATATATCTCCTGGTTCACATTGGCAGGGGTTTCTCATGCATACCTAGGGCAGAAGTGTTGGGTCATAGGGTATGCATATTTTCAAATTTTCTCAACAATTCCACACCACTTTCTGTCAGCAACATGGAAGAGATCTTGTTTGTTTTGCCTATTTATCTTAGTAAATCTCAAGTTTAATCAGGATCTCTAATCTCTCCTAAAGCGATACAGGAGGATAAAAAATTTTAACTCTAGTAGCATTTCTTGATATTGCGTGTCATTATTGACTACATTTTCGAGGTAATGTTCTTAGATATTTCTTCTACATCACTGACTCATAGTAGCAGGACAGGGTACTATGCAGGAGTATAGGTTCAAACCCTGGGTCTACTATTTACCAGCTGTAACTTCTTAAACAAGTTATTTAGTCAATTTTAGCCTGGCTTCCCCATCTATAAGTGAGGATATTAGTAGTAACTATATATATTCTATGTATATAAACTCTCTCTATATTATATACATATGCTAGTTTAATACCAATAAATGTATGCAAGACTATATGTATAAAATATATTATGTGTAAACTATATAAAGTTTATATATATTAGGCTTTATATACAGTTGTGTGTGCGTGTATGTAATGCAAAGCCTAATTGTTCAGATTCCTCTGTGTAATGCTTTGCCCTCAGCAATAAGAATGTCCCTTTCCTTTAGGTATAGAGAGGGCCCCTCTCACTTGAGGCTCTTATAACTTGCTTCAATGGAGGGTCAGAAAATTCTTCCTAGATTTCATGACTTGCTTCAGAGACGAAGGGTAGAGGAAGGTCAAAGAGGACATTATGCTTCTGCAGTTTTCTCAAATTAAAATATTTTGGGGTAGCGTGTCCTGCATCTCATCAAAACCATCAAACTACATTTTTCTCTCTCTCTCTTTCTATCTCCAAAGCACCAGAAAGAATTTCTAGCACATAGCATTATGTCAATTGTCACTTTTTAATATTTCGTTTGTCCCTGCTCTTTATCCTTAGATTAGTGTTTATCATCACTGCTTTAGACAATACTTGATGAGATTTACTTGTGCGTGCTGATTTCTCTGCTTACCATTGCTTCTTGCATCCTCCTCCTTCATTAGCGTAAATTTCTCACCTTCTCTCTGAATGATCTTCTAATCATTTCTTTAATAAGCATTTGCAGTGGTAATTTTTAAAAACTAAAAATATGTTTCTTTTGCTTTACTTCTGAATGGTGATTTAGCTAAGCATCGAATTTTAGGTTGAATGTTTTAATTCAGCACTTGAGATTCCTTGTTTCCTCTACCACTGTTAATGAGCAGCATTCTAACAGTCTGTTTTTGTTTGCTTGAAGATGCCCTGTCTTTATTCCTTGGGTGCCTTTAGGATGTTTTCTTAGTTTTAATGTTATCTCAAAATCTTATGCCTTATATATGTTCTTTAATAATGACTTAGTCTTTTTATTAATTGTGGATAATTTTCAATCATTTGATTTTTTTCAGGAACTAGTTTGTCACCTATTTCCTGTAATGTAACATATAATTCCACAGTTTTTGTAACTGCAGAAACTGGAATCGAGAAGTTGAATGCTTTTTCTAACACTGACATTAAAAAAATAAGTATCTACAATGAATCAATGGATGAATATCTTAGTAACAATGATAATAATAATTATTATTATATTATCACTGCTAAAATGGACTTCTTTTTCTGAGTACAGAAGCCCAAGATTGATCTTTATTTAATTAAATGCCACGCCAGACAGAAAAGGTATTTGTCAAATGAGGTTGTCTTGGAAAAACATATCTATCAAATGTTATAAGATATTGCACTACGTCTGGGACCAGCTTGCTGGAGTTATAATTAATTCCAGAATGGGGAGAGCATTTTGGGAGGCTCCAGGAGGGAGATCCAGTAGCTTTTTCTAAGTTTGTATGTGTCCGAAAGCTCTGGCTAGAGTCTTATGGATGCTCATAAATGACAGGGTGAAGTTAAGAATCTGAAGAGGAAAATCTTATCCGGGAGATCGTGGTGGGCTCTAAGTGCAGTCATATGTATTCTTATCACTGAGAGGCATAGGGAGTTCTGTGAGAGAAGAAGAGGAGACAATATAACCAAGGAGTGATGTGCACAAGTGAAGGGATGCCTGGATCCACCAGAAGCTACGAGAAGCAAGAAACACACCCTTCCTTGGAGTCTTTAAAGGGAGCAGGACTCTGGAGACCTTTTGATTTAGTGCTTCTGGCTTTCAGAACTGTGATAGAACAAATTCCTGTTATTTTAGATCACCAGGTTTCAGGTGATTTGTTATAGTAGCTTATAGAAAACTAATATATACCCATCAGAGACACTCTATGTTAAATACTTGGAAGTCAAGATTTATTTCTTCTGGAATTTTCTGGTGTTTCACCATTGCTCTTGATGTTACTGCTGCAACCTGGCACTGCTGAGCCTAGCAAATGAGATGGAAAATGGAATGGGGAGAAATGACACCAGGAGGCTAGATGGTAGGCCTGTGGGATTGGTCATGAGACAGAAGAGGAGGCTGGGCTGGCATGAGCAAAGGCACCTGTAACCCACATTGGCACAAGGGCAAAGAGGGCTATTCCATTGAGTAGCCAGAAGCTTGGTATTTAAAAGATAAACTGAGTTGGGAACCAGGGCAGGCAGGTGGGTGTCATAGATAAGAGGAATGGGGTCAGACATGGTGGCTCACACCTGTAATCCAAGCATTTTGGGAGGCCGAGGTCTGTGGATCACTTGAGGTCAGGAATTTGAGACCAACCCAGTCAGCATGATGAAACCCCATCTCTACTAAAATACAAAAAATTTAGCTGAGCATGGTGGCACATGCCTGTAGTCCCAGCAACTCGGGGAGACTGAGGTACGAGAATTGCTTGAACCTGGGCGGCAGAAGTTGCAGTGAGCAGAAATTATGCCACTGCATTCCAGCCTGGGAGACAGAGTAAGACTCCATCTCAATAAAAAATAAAATAAATCAATCAATAATAAAAATTAAAAAGAGGAATGGGGCCCAAGTCAGTGCAGACACATTTTGTTCTGTAGTTTACACAGGTGTTGTCCATTTTAATTGACACAGATTTGGATTTGGAAGCTCTTGTAACCTTCCTTGAAGGCACTTTCCAGGCTCTCACAGTTAGATATAACAGAGGAGAAAAAAAATGTTCGTTTCTTCATTAGCTGAGGAGGTAACTACATGGGTAATTGATATTGTGTGATTATGTCTTATATGATTTTATAAATAATATATATCTTATGATTATACAGTGTATTTTTAAAACATCTTCTGCTAGTCAAGGAATTACAATTGAAATGGACGATAATGGTTCTTTCTTTTAGAAAAATAGCCTACGCTCTTAACTAGATTGGTATGTATGTAGCATCTGTTCGTGGGGCGTTTGCCAGCAAATCTAAATGAGTAATATTGAATAATAATATCCTACACCCTCTGCTACTGAAGATCCCAGATGTGGATTGACACTTCTCCAATTTCTGATATTGGAAGATCTCCCTGGCCCACTTCTATAGTTATTAGGACAGGATCCCAGATTGGCTTCAAGTGAGAATCCCACGGAGCCAATTTACAAACCATGCGCATAATTTAGCTACCTAGTCAAGCTG